ATATAACATACTTAGTTTCAAAATAAAAAAAATATCCTCAGAACAATAGTGAACACTTTTGGAATAATAATAAATAAATGACTTGCTGAAAATGTTACACATTTTTTTCTATTTAATACTGTAGCAGTTGATTTGGTTCAAAATAAAATCTAATAAACTACATCTTAAGTAAGTATTTCAGAATCTTTATTTTTCCTCATAGTCATATTTGGAAAAAATGGAATTGATTTTTCAATATATTAATTAGATATATCCTTTTTTACCAGAGAAGAAAAATACTTAGTTTTCATGTTGGCAATCAGAAGATGATTATTTTTATCATTCTTAAAAAGAATGAGAAAGAAATATTTTTAACAGTATTTCAATAAAGATGACTTAAAACTTAACAAAGTAGTAACAATACCAAGACCATGAAAAGAACTCAGGGTATCAGAAAGAATGATTACACACACATGAAGAGACACTCTCCCATGAGGTGACTCAGTAGTGAGATGCCATTAAGTTTGGGTACTGTGTGACATACACTATAGGCCAGAAGATTGGGGCCATTCTCTAGATTCAAGTTTCATATCTTCTTTGGTTTAATTCCTACTAAGCTAGGATGCTGAAAGTATTTAATCTGTTTGTGCATGGCATCCAACTTTTTGAGAGAGAGGATTACCTAAATTTAAAATCCTCCAGCCCTAAGATTACCATTAGCCAGGAAGGTAGATTAGGTAAAGAGAACTAAAATTTCAAGGAAACATTATGCAGTAATCCGTTAATTATTATTGAATATAAAATCCTTGAAAAAAGAAAATGTCTCTTGTCCAAAGTGAGCTAGTAAATAGCTTTGAAAAAAGCCCACAGCCTTCAATTTTTAGGTGATTCTTCAAAATCCAGAGGGTGGCTCTAAACGTTTGGCCTATAATGTATTTTCAATGATGTCTTCAGCAAGGATTTTGGTAAAATATGGCGCCATTCAAATCTGTCAGCATTCTTAATGGTTCAGATTCAGCTAACCTCAACTTGATTTTTTCCAAAGTTAAAAATTTCCATTAAAAGGAATTAAATTTCAGACTCTGGGAAAAGATAATGGAAAACATGATGAGGTAGCAGATGACAATCCCAATTTTACAGACTATTTGAAAAAGCAGATGAGATGCTTGGATAAGTGTATAAGGAAGTTCTAAGTGAAATACCTGGAAGGACACTAAAGCATCATTGTGACTAGGTGTCCAACCATTTTAAGTATCACCATATCACCAGATCTGGCTGTCATACATACATACAGCCATGTTTTATTTATTTTTTTTTTTTGTGCAGCACCACAAGGATTGATCTCACACATAGCTAGGGGGGGGGGGGTCCGCCATCATAATAATTTAAAGCAAAGTTTTACAAGGACAGGTGCTTTTCCTAATGCCCAGCTCAGTTCTTGAGGTTGGGTAGAGTCCGCTTGAAGGGGGAATTGAGAACAAGTACTAATGTTGGATAGTCTCCACCGTCCCTCTATTCATTTCTCACGTCCGTTGATGAAGAACACAGGTGTGTTCGAAAATTCTGAACTTGGAACCTCAATCTCCTTGCTTTATTTTTGTCACCTGGTTAATATTAATGTTTTTCATATTGATTACATCAGTGCCATTTTGTTTGTTTTATTGGCCAACTTATCTACTCTATTTTATAAACTATATGAAGCACACGTAGACTCTTTTCTAATTACATATAATACACACACACACATATATATATATATATATATATATATATATATATATATGAGAGAGAGAGATGTGTGTGTGTTTTGGTCATTGGCTCCTGTAAGAAACTCATCCACTGTTTGACAGGTCTTGTTTTTCAACCTACAGGGTGACATGTCACCCTCCCTACCACCAGAAAACCTAATAGGGGAGCTAGTTTAGACACCAACCACCTGTTTAGGTAGAATTTTATTCTATGATGAGTAAATGACTGGATACTTCAAGAACAGACTTCATATTGTTATTATTGGTTAGGAATGTTTATACTTGATCCTGCATTTTTTTTTTATACAATATCAAAAACTTTTTATAAGTATTAAACATGAAATGAATAGTACAAATTGATAGATACTAATTCAAACACTCATAATAAAATTACATTGTTTATCAACACTTTCAATTATTCATTTTTTTTGATCATTTCATCTTAAGCAAGGCAATAAAGCTACTAAGACAAAAGAGGTTAACAGAGTGAGAGAGAATAAGAAAAAAAATAACACTATTAAGGAGAGAAAATAATATATTATAATATCAAATTTCCAAGGCTATCATCACACCAACCTTCTGCTCCTAACTTGGTGACACTAGTAGCAGGATCAACTAGTATTATAAACTTGAAATCACAGGTAAGCCATTTCTTTTTGTTTCTATGCATTTAATTACATAACTACTTTTCATTTCAAATGTTCTGAACAGAGATTTTTCAAAATAATCTATGCAATAATGGACTTGATGCTTCCTATTCAAGCTTCTGTCACTTTTTGACACCAAACTAGATTAAAATTTACAGACCATGTTTTCTAGTTTTTATTTTGGTAAGAAACAATGCATGCTGGGAGGATTAGTATTTGAGTAAACAGTCAATACTACCGCATTCCATTTTCTCCAAACTTATAAATCTTGTCAACACATCATTATCCTCAAAATAACTCATGTACACAATTCCTGATTTTACTTAATTTGATTGGGCTTCAGTTTCTTTGAACTTCATGCTGAATTTTATAGCTTTAAATTTTCTTATTAATGAACATAGCTTTTTCATGATTTTAAGTTATCCTTTAGGATATGTTATGCACCATACTGTTATTAGAAATGCTTTGTATTGTCAGAGGAATACATTCTTTTTCTTTTGCCCTGTTGCATGCCAAATCTTCAGGAAGTTTATCAAATAGCACAAGTTCGGTCAATTGACCAGTTACCAGTGTGATTAAGACATTTAAACTCTACTTTGTTTTTATTTAAAAACCCGAGTTCTTTCTTCAACTTTAAACAAATTTTGTAAAAACTATTAATGAAAGAGAAGAAAATATACTGATCTCAAAAGCCCAAATTATCAAGTTTTGACCCTTATTATATGTTAGAGACACAGACAAGACAGAGGTCATTTTGAATATCAGGAACACCAGACAAGTTGCCTCTACAGACCTGAATGACCACACCTAAAAGTTAATTGAAAACTTACATTTTTTATTACTACTTTGGTAGCCCATTTCTTTTGCTTGCCACAGTATATACTTTTCCATAGTAACAATTATTTTTCTCTTTCATTACTGTCCAAAAATAAATTATCTATGAAGCTTGAAATGAAGACATTCATATCAAGCTCAATGTATGATGATATTTGAGAGCAACAAGTATCAATATTAATATAACATTTTTTTTTTTTTTTTGAAACCAAAAATATCACTTTTTTTTCCCCTCCAGATCTTACTGTTGAGTCACGAGTTGTTTCCTGTTATCTTTCAAGGAAACACTAAAAGGTTGAGTATGCTGGTAAGCTCAGAAACCAAATGGTCATTTTCATTACATTTTACATGTAGGCCTACAGAGATATCCTTATCACAAGTCAGTTTCTAAAACTGTTAAGATATTTAGAGTTCTTGATTGATTGATTTTATGACATGTCAATATCTATTATGTATTTATATATGGGGGCACTCAGTGAAGATCAAACTCATCATTCAGTAGTAATGGTCAACTAGATTAACCTTGCTAGGCATGGGCAACTTTTTTTCGACCAGTGGGCCACATGAGATATGGCTCATCATAAGGTAAACGGCACTAATAAAAAAAGTGATTTTTCATTGAAAGCAAAGCAGCCATTTTCTCTAGAGAAGATCAGACATTTAAGCAACTGCCTTAGAAATGGAGGAAAGTTGATTTTTTTTTTTTTTTTTTTATTTGTAAAAAATATTTTTTTTTACAATTTAAAAATTGAAGATTTCATATAATATGATCATTGATGACACTAATTAACACATGATGCTGCTATGGTCGATTTGTTTATAACTTATTAATTTGAAAATATAAAAAAAAAAAAAAAAAAAAAAAAAAAAATTTCTTCTCCAGAGGAAAAAAAATACAATGGTTTCTTGTTTGTAAAGCAAAATTAGAACTATCTTTGACAAAAGGTTAAAAAATTAAAGAAACATTCTACTTAATCATTGTTATGTATGTGGTTTAGTCGAACTGTACCCACAATGCAACAGGCATTAATAACTAAAAGAGGGTACTCAGATATTTAATAGTTATTTACCTTTGACACCAACTTCTCTTAACCTCTTTACATGAGAGAGAGAATGTGAATGAACAAGTGAGAGTGACAAAAAACACAAAATTTTAATAAACATTATTTTCCTCATTAAATTAGTTGCACCATTCAGAAGACCAAACAGGCCACAGGCTGCAGTTTGCCCATGACTGCACTAAGCTGAGGCACTCTTTAAGGTTTTGGAAGCATGGATGAAAATTTACACTCTCCCTATTAAAGGGCTTTTAAACTCTAAATAAATATTCCATTTCTATTCAATAAAAGTAAAATTACTTTATTTTGCCCCCAAAATAATATGATCATATCTATTCATATTCTTTTACAGCATTTTTGACAGATTTGTATATTTTCATTTATTCATTAAGTACTATTCAAAATATATTAATACTATTATCTTGCTTGCAATTTTAATCTGTCCTGACTTTGCTAATGGTCGATTGATTTATCTTTTTTACGACTTAGCAACCTTTTGCAGGTTATTTAAATCTAGAGAATATTTTTAGATTGTAACACTTTTTTTTGGAGATAATGATTTACAGATACAAGTTTTACTAATTAACCCATAGCTAGGGTGAGAAGAGGTGGATTCATACCTTTCCCAAGTGTATTTGCACACAAATAAATATAACAAACTCAACTGGAATTGGAACTATTCTCCAGTTTCCAATTGCAAGCCATGATCCATCACACCACCTGCACAACCAAACTTACAGCAGCTGGTATTCCCTAGTGGTCACCCATCTAAGTACTGACCAGGCTCATTGTTGCTTAACTTCAGTGATCGTAAAAAGAATTGGTGTTTCAACAAGATATAGCTGTAAGCCTACTTTGCTAATGACTCATAAAACAAAAGTATTGAATGATTCAACTATAAAAGGATTACTCTTTTCAATACAAATCAGCCAGACCTGGTTGGTCAAATATGTGGATTGATAACTCAATACTGTCTGGCTGTATGAGCATATATGATATTGGTTGCAGGGGCGTATATGATAGTGAATCAGCCCAAGTAAGATAGCAGCCACAATGTAGTGATAACTTGCTTCAAAATTAGAAATTTTATTTTATGATTTTGCATCAATATATTATTGAATTTCAATATCATAGATCAGTTAGGCATAGGTCTGTGAATGGTCAGAAGGTCTTACAGGTCATTCTTGTCAAGTTTAAAGCAGGAAGAGCTTAGTTCCAATGATGACTTGAACTTCAACAACACTGGCAGTAGGTCAAGTACATATACTGCTGATGGCAATATATATATTTGGTTGGAAAGAAAGTTTTTTATGGCTTCTAAACAAATCTGATTAGCTGTTTACACAAGAACTTTTCTTCCAACCAGATAAATTGACAACCAAGATGACCACAATGACCAAAACAAGAATTTGTAAGTAAAAACACATAGCACATCATCAGAGCTTAATCTTGCCTGAAGATATATGGTATAGAAAGGTCAACTTGTGAAGACAGCTCACAAATTAAGTTTAAATTATGAGCTATCTTAAAACTAGTAAAATTTAGAAAAATCAGTCTGAAAAGAGTAGACTTTCCCAAATGTCCAATGTTCAATCGACATATGTAAAATTAAAATAATTTGAACATTTTATATTTTTAAATGTAAATAAACATTAAGTCGATATGAGCAGCAAGTAAAGAATTATAAAAGAATTCTTTAGAAAATGATTTTAGCTCTATTTGATAAGATTTTTCTCTTATGTGTCATATCCCTACTGAATGTGAACAATCATGGGTCTCCACAACTTCCTATCCCTTGTTCCTCTAAGTGACATTGGACTCTTTTACTGTGCTTCTTTCTAACTGTTCTGCAATCTATTCATCCAAAATCCTTAGGTAGGTTTCTCAGTTTCTCTCCGTCCTCCTTCCTTTAAGGAGTCCTGTGAGTATTAAATTTTCCAAGTGTTTTTCCTCATAAGGTATCTCAGAAATTTAACGTTTCTATTCCATCTCTTTTTGTAAATTCCAGATTTAAATTATTTTTATTTATTTATTTGAATAGCATTCTTCTTCTTAAGAATTTATGTACAGGAATTAAAAAATAAAAAAAATTCTTATCAAAGTTTCAAGTATTTTCCAGTTAAAGTTACTGTACTTGATCTTTAACTTCACTCTCAGTCAAGTGTAACCATATTTTGTTACTTAATCATTGTTCAAATTTGTTTCAGAAATATAATTTTTTTTATTATTCTTTAGCAAAATATCAGTCACTTATGTGCTATGTGTTGTACACACTTAGGCGATCATGTATCTCTCAATACATGACTGACAACGAAAATTTTTTTTTCCCTCTGCAGTAAGTTGCCATTTCTTTCTGCAGTAGACCAGTTGCCATCCAAGGCTACAGAACCTGGTCTGTCCTGCTATTTACCCATAACTTGGGTGGGGGAGAATAGGATTCATACCTTTTCCAAGGATATTAGCATATAAGTGAATGTAATTTGATTCGACTGGAATTTCAAAATATATCAGAATATGTTAGGTATTTTGAAAGCTAAAATTATTTTATATCATTTCATTGAAAAAAAAAAAAAAAAAAAAAAAGGTCCATGAAAAACAAAGGTTTAAAAAAAAAAAAAAAAAATGTATTATTTTGTTATCAATTTTTTTTTTTTTTAAAACATGCCAATAAAATTTAAATAATCTTAGTCAATGTTTTTTGTTTTGTTTTTTTTTTTTAATGAGGAAAAAGGGAACAAGCTAAATCTGAATTTTTAAAATTATTTGAACTTCATAACTGGAGGAAAAAAAAAAAAGTTCAATTGATGTAATTTCAATATGAAACCAACCACATAATAAATATCTCGGAATCTCAATAATAATAATAATAATAATAATAACATAAAAAAGTGATGTGATTTGATTAAAGTTTCCCCAAGAGAAATTCTCTTTCTGCATCTTTCATAAAATCTAATGGGACATAAATTAGGGATATTGGCACCCTCATTTTTCTCTCATCAAAACATATGATTCCCTATGACAATATTTCCATAACAGATTTATTTTTATGGGATCTAAAAGCCAACTCTAGCTCTTTTTTTTTTTTTTTTTTTAATATGTTGAATACACATCACCGATTTCCAAAACTGTGTCTTTTGGCTTCTAGCCCAGATAATTACATTCTGCAGATCTCACCAAACTAATTCTAAGATAGCCAAATAATAATAAAAACCAGCAAATATTTTACAGATTTGCCCAAAGCCACTATCATGCTAATCACACATGATGATTTACACTGAATTTAATCTCATACATTTGGTATCAATATTTTTTGCTCATGATTTATCTAATTTTTTCTTTTTACCTCTGTCTTCACTATTATATAGATGAAAAGCCAAAAACATTTAAAAGTTATTTACAAACTACAACGAAAAAGGTTAATACACATAGACAACATGAACTGACATTGTTTTTTGGTAACTATGTTAATTTAGTTAATCTTATACAGACTATGAATAAGTATGATGTGTATCTGAACTATGTGAAGTTATATCACCATGACTGGGTTGGTGAACTTTGTTAACAAGTTTACCATGAAAGAAAACCAAAACAATCTATAATAGTCAAAAGATATAAAAGCTTGAGTATAGAACGCATATCTTCCTGGCATCAGTTTAAACTGACTCCTCAATCTCACAATATTTGTTTTTTTAGGATGTAGGTAATCATAATTCACTATGGATTCTCTCCTCTTTGTCATCCGTGAATTGTCATGCATTCTTGAGAATGATTGAGGAGTGGTTTCCCATTGCCCTCTGTAGAGTGAACGGACAGAGTTAAATGTAAAATAAATGACAGCACTATCCAACAAAAATTGACAATGTTTGCAATAAGCAATAACAAAAAAAAAGAAATTAAAAGAACAGGAGAAAAATAATATAAAGCAAGGAAACAATATATGCAAGTAATTAATAATTACTGTTAATTACTATTAACAGTAATAAGGCAAAGCAACAATAATATAGCAAAAAGTTCATAAAGAAAGAATTGGGGTTGACACATAAGAGCAAATTTGGATCAGCAAATGTAGCATTCTGACTGCAAGAAGACTGGGACTGAGTCAGATGAAACTAAGGACTGGCCTATTTTATTAGATAGGAAGAAATCCCAGCATGCATATGTGTGCTTCTTCCTAGGAATTGGGGAGAGGCAAAGTGTTTTGCAGTCATTCCAGTAGGAATTGAAACCAACACCTTCTCCACAGTTGAAATTGAGATTCCCTTCTCTTAGACTGGTTACTATCCAAGGCTAAAGGACCTTGTTATTTAACCAAACCATAATTATAAACTATTTCTGAATAACCTTGTTATTTAACCAAACCATAATTATAAACTATTTCTGAAAATGAAAGTTTCACTGATTCCAAGTTTTCATCTGAAATCAAGAAAATACATACTTTAAACAATATGGTCACAATATATGAAGAAAAAACCCCCGAAAAAACAAAAAAAATGATGGGTGTCAGGCTAAACCGACAGCCAGAGGATATGGGTTTAGACTTAACATTATTCATTTCATGCAATCAAGGAAGGAAATGGATTTAAAAAAAAAAAAAAAAAAAAAAAAACTAAAAGCCTTAAGCAAATGAGTAAATGACAAATGGGCTGGCGAAAGATGCAAGATTGTGAGAGTAGGTGGACAAAGTAAAAACACTTATTGTCAAAACCCACAATTCATTTCCAAATTCACATAAGTTATTTCCAAAGTGAACCAACAAAAACCATTCTAAAAAGGAATGAGAATTAAAAACCTAAGCGAATTTAAAACAAGAGAAAGCTTTCCCTTAGGCCATCTGAACATAAAGCAATTCTCCTGCTAAATTACAAAGACGAACTATTGCTAAAGGGGAAATGGAGATAATGCAAAATGGAAGAAGACATTATTCAAGAAGAAAACTCAAAGAATCATTAGTGAAATGCAAGAGGTCACAAAATTTACATTGCTTGCATCTTGTATTCTCTCCAGTCTTAAATTCTTAATCAGCTATCATAAAAGACATGAATATTCTTTTAATTGAATCTCTGGTAAGTCTAGTCTCAACATGCAAAAATGTCCTCTCAGTTACTTTGCCAGCATAGCTGTTTTGGGAATAAGCAAGTGGCTCTTCTGATAAAGATGGAAAAATTTCATAAGCTAAGGTTGGCTAAGAATCAATCTTACAGGAAGCTATTTACTTCAATCGAGAAATTTGGATTTCATAAGCATATACGCCTACTAAAATAATTTCTTTTTTTTGAGATCTATTTTCTTATTTTTTTTTTTAATTTTATTTTTTATCATTTTACCCCAAGAAAGGTGATAATACCTGCCTACTAAAATAATTTCCTGTTTCGACTGCTCTCAGGTTAATTTCCCGTTTTTTTTGTGTTTTTTTTTTAAATTAATTCACACCAAGCAAGGCAATAATGCCACTAGGAGGCAAGGGGATACAGAGAGTTAAATAGAAGACTTTAGTGAGGAGAAAGAACTGGGTTCTGGAAGACAGAAGATGTTGATTGGCTTGCTGCATTTAAATTTTTTAAGATTGTAAGTAGCAAGGAAGCAAGAAATCAGGAGGGAATTCCACAAGTGAGAAGTGCAAGAAAAGGAAATATTAAAATAGAACATAGTTGCATCTAGCTAGTTCAATAGTAAAACAGGGAGACCTAGTTGCTAATCTAGGTAGCACTAAGGAGAACAGCTAATCAGAACAATTGCCATGAAAATATTTGATGAAAAGACAGAGGGCACCAACATCACATCTGTGAGAAAGTGACTGACTGAAGTTGAGATACCAAACCAGGATCAATTACATTACAGACTCTTC